GGCGTTTAGGATGATGATGAGAGTGATTTTTTATGAGGCGCGCACACCGACCCCTAAAAGAGACACCATGAAGTTGTTACGATGCGCGCGCACACTGTCACCTCAAAGCGACAACTTCAGTGGGTAATTGTCAATCAAGTTTTTTTGTTGTTTTGCTTCCTACGCGCGTACTTAAGTATACACACACTTTCTTTTGTTTTCAAAATAATTATATGGTATACTATTTTATTGTCGTGAGTGAAAACTCTTAAACTTGTGTATTTTAAAATTTAAGCAAAATAAATTAACAACACTTACCTGATCATTCAGCGGGATTCTAGCACTAGATCTAAACTAATAATAAAATAAAGAGTGCAATCAAAAATAAAACATCAAAATAAACTTAAAGGCAGTTTACTTTATTATAGAAAACAGTGATCTTAAAAATAAACAAAATTAAACATGCTTTGACACTAAAAAATAAATTTAAAAAATTATACATTATAACGGTCTTATTACAAAAAGTAATAATAAGATTATATACTCCTTGGCCGCGGCGGCACAGTCTTCGAGAAATTTGACATTACCCGTCAAATTCGTTACTTTACATTTTAGAACGCAATAAGTTATATACTCTAAGGTACAAAAAAAAAGTACGCGTATAATTTTTCGCGGGACTTCTTTACTGAAACAGACTCTAAACATAAAGCCCCGTATACACTAGGGGACATTCTGTCCCGCAACAGGACGCGGAACACTCAATATACTTGACGATGCAACGTTCCAAAGTGTCGCGCAACATGACTCGCGACATTTTACGTGACGCGGGATATGTTGTTTGCTCCCGTTCCGAGAGCGAGCGCACGTGTCCAGCGTCAGTGTTGCTTGCGCCAGTTTATTAATATAATAATAATAATTTAAATAATAAATAAAAAAGAGCTTACACCTTTCTAAAAGGCCCGCTACGCATTTACAATTCTCCTTGTGTTGCGGTTGTTCGTGGGCGGCGGTAGTCACTTACCATCAGGTGAGCCGCATGCTCGTTTGCCCCCTCTTCTATAAAAAAAGGTATAGCCGTGTGTTCAACGTGCCTTGCAGTAGTGTGGCTAAACGAAACTGTACTTTTATTATTGAGCTTTAACAGAGTCATTTTTTATTGTGTGATACTTCAAACCGTGATTATCGAAATAAAGCAAATAAAAATGACGCGTGGGAGGATATTGCGAAGGAGGTTAAATTACGTAGAAAAAAAAAATTGAATCCAAAGTGCATACCCCGGTCATACCGAACAGTTGTTTCGACACTCGAAAAGTGTACGAGATGGAAGCATAAAAATCTCCAGTCGGAAAGTATCTTATTGCAATGGCAAGTTTGATATGAGGGTCAACAGCGTTCCGTAGTATTATTGCATCCTATTTGACTATGGACGGTCCGTTCATCTATACGTCTATACAAATAAATAAAATTAAAGTGTCTGTTTGTAATGTTAAAATAACTGCTTTTTACTAAATGCATATGAAAGTATATACGGTACTAATAACAAAAAACACTTTTTAAATTTTATGTCTGTGTATCTGTCTGTCTGTTTGTTCCGGCTAATTTCTGAAACGGCTGGACCGATTTTGATGGGACTTTCAATGGCAGATAGCTGATGTTATGAGGAATAACTTAGGATACTTTTATTTTATAAAAAGAATTAGGGTTCCGCGCAAAAAAAATTAAAACGCGGGGTACAGCTAGTTTGTAATAAAGTTTCAAAATCAGATGTTGACGTTCGAATAAAATTTACAAAAGATCCGTAAGACATTCGAAAATCATTTGAAATATTAATTCTTCTTCACGTTGTAGTAAGAAATTCCACATCCACCACCTTCTCTTTCGCTTACTTAGTAAGTACTACGTACGCAGCACTAATCGCCACAACCTCCTTGGGCGACATTTCTATATGCACTGACTAATGTGGCCTGAAAAATGTTAGCCGACATAAATGTCTCGGGACATTCTATGTAGTTGTTGAGCGACATGTTGCGCAACATGCCGCTCCTTTTGTCCCCAAGTGTATCCATGGCTTAAACCTGTAGAGTAATAATAAACTACATTTTGTAATAAGACGAATTACGTTTACGACCATACTGTTTGCTTAAACCGAGAGAGATCTACAGCGTTATTAGTATGTTTCTTTTATTTTCTATTGTTAAACACTACATTAAGTTTTAAGCCTATATCAATATTTTTTTTCTTATTCACATATTAATAAATGTATAATAAATAATGCAGCCCATCAAAAGTCAACAGCTGAACATAGGCCTCCTCTATAGATTGTCTCACAGGGAGGGGGGGGGGGGGGATCTTTTCGAACCAAATTTCGAAAAAAATTAATTTTTACGTCAATTCTTTAATATTTAATGATCTCTGTATTATTTATGCTTTTTAAGACTGCATTTTAACAATTAATGACAATAAAATTCAAGATTCACAAACTGTGGATATTTTGGCGGGAATAAACTGATCAACTAATGGTTTGAATTGTAAATGCTTGCGAAAAAATAACGGAAATTTAACAGTGGTAGAGCCACGCGGCAGCTTTTGCTGTCGCACGAATGGGCCGGCTCGAACCGGGGTAGTTAGTACCACAACCTCACAGAAAACCAGCGTGAAGTAGAGGTTTACCTCTGCGTTTCGCTTGGTGAGTGCAGGTGGCCGGAGGCCCTTTTTACTGGAAATGAGGCATTCCATCTTAGTCCTCACGGGTGACAACGCATCTACATTTTGATTTGTAACAGAGGATAGATGTAGATGTCTATGGGCCGCAGCAACCACTTACCATCAGGTGGACTGTGTGCTCGTTTGTCACCCTTATCCTATAAAAAAAAAACTACTCTACGTTACAGACTCATTCCACTGTCGACAAAACATATGAGAACCTTCAAAATGAGACGCAATAAAATATTACAGCGCTTAATGTTTTTGTTATTATTTTTTTAACGTCTTTTTTTTCCTTCATATTCTTATTGTAATCCGATTTTGAGTTATGTTCAAAATTTTAAGTCTCCAGCACATCGGGAAGTTAGTTTAAAATCTTTTCTTTATAGATAACGGGTCAAACGAGCATGCGGCTAATCTGATTATAAGTGACTACCACCGCCCATGAACAACTGCAACACCAGGGGAAGTGCAGGTGCGTTGCAGGCCTTTTAAAAAAGAGTAGACTATTTTCTTGAAGGTTAGATATTACTAAATTCAACCCGAACAAACATACACGATAGTTATTAGGGTCAGGCAGGGCAATTTTAAACAGTATAGAAAAAAAACCTTACGAGCTGTTTCTAATTCCCATAAAAAAATAAGAGAAAATATAACCAAATTATCCAGTTTTTCATTGGAGTAACAGCCGTCGTTTAAATGGAGGAGAATGACCCTGCCTGTATCCTAAAAAAAACCGGGGATTATTGATGTTTGTTGTCTTATTAAAAAAATATTTCGTAATGTACCTACTTAAGATTTCCTTCTTTAAATAAAATTTAAAATTGTAATTATTTATAATCTGTATCTTATGCTAATATATAATTATTGTCTTTCACTTATATAATTCTACTAAATACTGATATATCAAAATAAAAATGTTAGAAAGTAAACATTATCAAAAACACAATATTTACAAGCTATCAATAATAACGGAAAGCCCACCTATCTACTTATAGTAAATAAAACAAAAATAAAGGACAAAAAATTAAATTAAACAATTCTAAATCATTAAAAAATTACTCTTGTAGAATCCAACTGAATGTCTTTTACAAAAGGCAGCCCTATATTTAAATTAAAAATAATATCGAGAATTTGTTCGTTTAAAGAATTTTAAAAAGTTTTTAGTGGATAAGAGAATCGGCCAGTCCATATTTTCTCCGTATTGTTTTTATCATAACGCGAACACTATTTTCGAAAAAAAAAGTAATTCATAATCTATCCAAATAAATAAAATTGAAGTGTCTGTTTGTAATGTCAAAATTACAGCTTTTTATTAAATGCATACGAAAGTACCGTACTTATAACCAAAATACAATTTTTTTGAATTTTTGTGTCTGTCTGTTTGTTCCGGCTAATCTTCGAAACGGCTGGACCGATTTCGACGGGACTTTCACTGGCAAGATAGCCGATGTCATAAGGAGTAACTTAGGTTAATTTTATTTTAGAAAAAGTATTAGGATTCCGCGCAAAGAAATAAAAACCCTAACACACGAGCGAAGTCGCGAGGAACAGCTAGTCAGAAATAAAATTGACGAGATTGTAAAATCTTTACTTTTTTATGAAATATGTGTCAGAGGCAATTGGTCGGACAGCCATTGAGTAAATGTATGATACTTTATCCAAAGACAGCTCAAATGTAAAAGATAAACAATATACATAAAAGCAACAGTATTGTTATTGCAAAAATCTCAATCAGACATGTATTATATTTACATTTACATTGCACGAGTCGATGCTGAGATATTAATTTAGAATTATTATTTATTACACTGTAGGCGACTCGTACCTACGTTCTATATACGTCGGTTTCTGCTCATTGAACTTATTTGAAATTACTTACTTTCATAGTTGGATTTAATGTTATTTCATACATATTTTTAATCTGTTTCACTTTTATAATCTATGTCAAACGGTTAAAAAGTCGTTACTACTCTGTAGTTTTAAATATTATTCAAATAGTTTCGGTATGCTGATTTCGAATAGTCGGTCGAACACTTTATTATAAATATAAATTAATTAAAGAACAATTATTGTTTTAGCGACGCCATGCTTTATTTCGGAGGATCTCTTTATATTTTTTTTAATTGCGAGTAGATCTTTGAAGTTATAGATGGTAGATATTTTTCAATTTTCATTTTTTTACAATATATTTCTTAGACATTCAATTGTACTCTAGGTTTCCAAATATCCGTCAACGACGATAGCCCACAAACTATTGTGGGCTACCGGCGTTGCCCAGCGCTGGGATAGGCGGGAGGGTGGGGCGGACGCGGTACCTGCTGCTGTTGTAGCGCTTGTTGCTGAAGTGCTGCTTGCTGGGCCGCTGCCGCCGCTGCCATCTGTTGGGCCTAAACGGAAAAGTTTTCTAATTACTTTAATTACGTGTTAGAACCATGCTGCAGCTATATTAGTAGTATAGCTGTAGCACGAATGGGTTGGTTCGACCGGGGAAGGACCACGCTATCACAGAATACCAGCGTAAAATATCAGCTTAATGCTGCTGTGTTTCGTATGGTGAGTGTAGAAAATCGGAGACCCTTTTTAATGAAAACGAGACATTCTATCTTACTCCTTACTACACACAGTAATCGAGGATAGATGTTGATGTCTATGGGCCACAGCAACCACTTACCATCAGGTGGATTGTGTGCTCGTTTGTCACCCTTATCCTATAAAAAAGGCCATGTTCAACGGAGGACTGTGGCGTCGCTGTTATCACCAAATTTCACGTTGCATGCTGCGCTAAATCGCGCTATCAAAGTTCCGAAGCACTACGCTATATATAGAATAGCTAGACTACCACACGGAGCGTTGACCGCTCTCCGGGCTGAATATCTTACCTGGCGGGAGATCACCGCCTTACTTCCTACGTCCAAAGGACTTTTGGGAGCTGGTGATATGATGATGAAGTAAAGATAAACATAAAGTCAGTTTACAAGATCTTTTAGATGACTCTATTATTATTAGACATGTGTAACACTGCGCTGGAACACAGTAGACTGCGCCGGGTGTGTTAGATCACCTCTTCAAAATGTATTGGCGCACAGCGCAGGAGCGGGAAATTCGAAAGATGTTAATATGTTTTTATTCTATATTATTTTAATAAACTACGACTCCGTGAAATGTAAAATTAGTGATACATATCATACCTTATATGTAGGTAATCTTTATTTTATTTTACTTACTGGCCACATGGTCTTATTCTGACAGGTAGCTGAGTTGACAGATGTGTTGAAAATTTATTGCACCATGGCGCAATTTTGTGTTAACGCAATGGGCCGATGCAGTAAACTCCGCGTAAGTTACTGAGTTAACGCAAGAAATTTCGCTGAGTTACCCGTGTCTAATTACTGTAGATATAATTACCAGGGCAGGACTTCTTTTCTAGAAGTCAGTCTGGATAAAAATAGCAGTGCCAGTGACAGTGCGATTACAGGCTGTGAAGCATTCCATCATAGTCCTCAGAGGTCACAACGTATCTGTTGTCTTCTTTGTTTGAAGTTAGCTACTGTCCATGAACTGCAGTAGCCACTTACCGTCTGTCTCTTATAGAACAATATTTATCTAAGCTACATACCCTGTGGTTTGTGGATCGATGATCATATTTGTGAGCAGTGAGCGAGTGTGACTCAAATTTTTACGAGATCTATTTTCTACCGACTTCAAAAAGGATACGGTACTCAATTCGACTGTATGTTATTTTATGTGTGTTACCTCATAATTTTTTTCTGGGTGAACCGCTTTCGATGTTTTTTTTATTTGAAAGCTGGTGCTTCATATGTGGTCCAATATAAATTTGATCAAGGTCAGACCAATAGTTTTTGAGTTATTCCTAATAATTTATATTGAAGTCGGTTGTACAAAATTTTTAATTTTAATTTATATGTCTCTCTATATTGTGCGCCTCTTCAACAGCCTCATTGGTCGTAAACGCGACTTTTGATCATGAAGTCCTGGACTCAAATACCGCAGCAGCCCGGAGCCAGAAAGTTGGCGGTGTTTCACCCCGTGCCTCGGATATGACGTAAATCCGTTGTTCGTGTGCCTGATCTCTCTTCAATCGCGTTGGATTGCAGTATCATCAGACTACGAGAGTAAGGGAACAGAGAGTGTGCAGCCGCTTGCGACACGCCACAAGCGAAACTGCACTGAAGCCTAAATCACGCTATCAAAGTTCCGAAGAACTGCGGTATGTATAGAATAGCTCCGAACTACCACATGGAGCATTGGACGCTCTCCGGGCTGATCATCTTGCTCGGTGGAAGAACTACCCTTTTACTTCCACGACCAAAATAGTGCACTAAAATCCAGTCACCACGCAGATGCAGACGGCTAGTCTACGTTGAGCTGCCGTGACCGAATTCGGTCTGAAAGACATTGTTATTATTCATTACATGGTGCAAATCACATACCTGAACGCTCTGTTGGACGGCGCAAGGTTGTTGCATGGGCGAAGCGGCCTGCTGAAGTGGAGCCTGAGAGGTCTGCTGCTGTGGTTGTTGCTGACATTTGTTGTACACCGTGTGACCCTGGGGGAACCGTATATTTTTTACATAAGGGTCATTGAAGCCTCAGTAGCCTAATGGCAGGGCGCGAACCGTGAACTCGAAAGGTCGTGAGTTCGAATCCACCATTCGACTACTGTAGTGAACCACTTCTAACACAAGCATTTTAAGCTTACCAGAAGTGGTTAAATCGGAATATTAGTAATGTTTAATAACACTACTCGTTTTTTTTTTCAATCTGCCCTATATTAACCCGTGGGTGTCATTTGAGGCAACGGACGGAAACTAAAACACGAGTTGAGCAGCGGCATATGCCTGATAACTGCTCAAAATAGTAAAAAACCTGCCGTTGTCAACATCTCCGCCAGGCGTGTTAACTAACTATGGCAAATCTGCTTCTAAAAGGCAATCTATGGGGGAGGCCTATGTTCAGCAGTGTACGGACTTTAATAGACTGTAATGGATGGATGTATAGAAGATAATCTACCAGGAGCACATGACTCACTGAGAGGTGAAATTTTCAAATCAACAGGAACATTACAACTATGGCAAATCTGCTTCTATAAGGCAATCTACATGGGGAGGCCTATGTTCAGCAGTGTACGGACTTTAATAGGCTGTAATGGATGGATGTATAGAAGATAATCTGCCAGGAGCACATGACCCATTGAGAGGTGAAATTTTCAAATCAACAGGAACATTACAACTATGGCAAATCTGCTTCTAAAAGGCAATCTACAGGGGGAGGCCTATGTTCAGTAGAGGCCTTTGATAGGTTGTAATGATTTAAAAGGGTTCCGTACGAAATGCCACCACACATACGAACCACGTTTTATGTGGTAGAGCCGTGCTGCAGCTATATTAGTGGTATAGTTCACGAATGGGTCGGCTCGACCGGGGAAGGACCACGCTCTCGCAGAATACCAGCGTAAAATATCAGCTTAACGCTGCTGTGTTTCGTATGGTGAGTGTAGAGAACCGGAGACCCTTTTTACTGGAAAAGAGGCATTCCATCTTAGTCCTCACGGGTGAATACGCATCTGCATTTTGATTCTTTATTAAGGATAGATGTAGATGTCTATAAGCCACAGCATCTACTTACCATCAGGTGGACTGTTATTCTATAAAAAAAACGTAACTGTTACTATATACGCTTGGCGGTCCACCACTGTGGACCTGGACTGTTTTACTAGGAGTTTTCTTACTCATACAACTTCTCTGTGGAATTGTCTACCAACAGCAATTTTCCCGGACCGATACGACTCAGGTACCTTCAAGAAACGAGCTTACTCTTTTTCCAACGGCCAGCAACGCACCTGCACGTTCAGGGGCGGCGGTCGACACTTACCATCACGTGAGCCACATGTTAGTTGCCCCCTCTTCTATAAAAAAATTATGTATGTTCATTGCTTCCACGGTACCGGATAAAATCTTTGTGGGTAAGGTTCTCAAAAAAAAAAGGAATAAAACCTAATACTATGATACAATTCTCTCACCTGCAAGTCCGCGAGTAGACTGTGCCACTGGCTGACTTTGTCATAGTGTCGTCGCAGAAGCTCCTCCTTCCGCTGCAGTTCGCACTTCAGCTCGTTGTTATCCTCCTTCACCAGGAGCTCGGGCTTCATGGCCGACAGCAGGAACCTGGGTTAAAAAAATTGTAGAGTGCGATCTAAGCCTAATAGCTGTAAAGCGCAAGGCGCTGCGTAAACCAAACCAAATAATGTACAAGTACTGTTACTCAGCAGGAGAAATAGGTGGAGAGGGTAGCTATACGTGCCGACACTGCAGCTATATTAGATTTAACATAAATAGGTCGGATCGACCGGGGTAAGACCACGCTCTCACAGAATACCAGCGAAAAATAGCAGCTTAATACTGCTGCGTTTCGTATGGTAAGTGTAGAGAACCGGAGACCCTTTTTTTTCACGGAAAGGAAGCATACCATCTTAGTCCTCAGGGGTGACAACGCATCTGCATTTTGATTCTTAATCGAATATAAATGTAGATGTCTATGAGCCACAGCATCCACTTACCATCAGATGGACTCTGTGCACATTTGTTACTGTTATGCTATAAAGAAAGGCACCAACACCTTACATATTTCTTACTGCTATGTTCCGGTCCGAAGAGTATAGACAGCCAGTATAATTTTTTTAAATACGTTTTTTTTTAAAAACATACTGTAAGGCATTGCATCTCAGTCATCAGAGTTGACAACGCACATGTAGCCTTCATTGTTTGCAGTTGTCCTCTCTCCGGTCGTGTCGAAACATCAGAGTGTGGGAATAGAGAGTACACCCGTGCTCGCGCACACGCTCGTGCACTATTAGAGTTTTGGCGGGAACTTGACCAGCGGCGGTTTGTTGCTCCTGTATTACTGTTTAAATAATGGTTTGAAGTGGATTTTGATATGTAAAAGTGGTGCGATTTTGTGTATTAAGTGTCTGCGCATGTGAACTATTAGTGGAAACGGTGAAACAAGTGCTCTAATGGTAATGTGAGTCTCAAGATAAGGTGTCTATCTACTTAGGCGCCTTGAGATACCATCGCCAACTGTCAGCTGTCTGCTGGCTCAAGTTGCCGTCAAATCTCCCAAGGGCTGCACAATGTGACGCATCAACATATTGTCAAGCAGTGTACTATGAAGGATATTTATACATTGGAAGTTCAGGCTCAGAAGGGCTAGAACCCAGCGCCGTAAAGCCAGTTATTAAAAAATATCACGCAATATAATCCTGTCCTGAGGAGATAGCTAGTCTCCGTTAAAACTCGTCGCCGTATCCCTTAGGTTTGAAAGACATTTATATTTATCAAGAGCTTCACATTTTTGAATTTTCTAAACTTATTATCGATATTCTGTTTTAAGCTACCTCTTCTGCAAAAAGAAAGCCTCCATTTGTCGCGCGTGGTCGATGAACCGCTCCACTTCAACTTTGACTTCTTCTTTCTCAACGCACGGAGAGGCCTCCTGCTTGGTCAGCACGTTAAGACATGCCTGTGAACAATAACAAATTAATAAAGAATTCAGTAGATACATAAATAGGCCTTTCCGAAAATGAACAGCCCCAATCGCTTGAATCTGCGTTTGTAGTCCCTCCTATGTTTGTATAAATTACTTTACTTAGCTCTGCCTATTTGTCTATGCGCAACTCGCCCTATCCTCCGCTATTCTGGCGGAGGCAGGGGAAAGTGGTTTCTACTTTCATTTAAACAAGTGGGATGCGGTAAGTAAAGACTGTAAGAACCTCCAAAGGAGGCGGAGTTAGAGCTGATATAAGAATATTTTTTTTGGTTTTTGGACATTGAACCCCCTATGAATATAATGAGAACTTTTTGCTCCTATTCAACCATGACTCCGCGACATCCTCTACACGATAGGCTATTCAAACTGATTATGCCTGAAGTTCGAGCCAACCCCCAATTTTTTGGTTTTTTGTCCACTTTGACCCCCTAGGAGTGTAATGAGAACTTATTGCCCCTATTCAACCATGAACCCCATGACATCCTCTACACGATAGGCTATTCAAACTGACTATGCCTGAAGTTCGAGCTACCCCCATTTTTTTATTTGTGGCCATTTTTACCGCCTAGAAGTATAATGAGAACTATGATCTCCCAAATTTTTTCAGCACAAAACTCCAGCTATCCTCCAAGGTAAAATATTTAGGTCTCACCTTGGAGAGTAAACTCAACTGGAATAAACACATAGAAAACAAATTCAACAAAGCTAGTATAACTTTCTGGCAATGCAGAAACATGATTGGCAAAAGATGGGGACTGACGCCAAAAATCGTACTGTGACTATATAAAAATGTAATTCAGTCGATGATCACAGACGGCGCTCTGGTATGGTGGACCAAAACAAATGAGGCCACAACTATAAAGAAGCTTCAGCGTTACCAGAGACCGGCATGTATGGCTGCCACAGACTGCATAAGAACTACTCCAACAGCAGCCTTGGCTGTGATGCTGGGGCTGACCCCGCTTCATCTACTTATACAACAAAAAGCAACTTTAGCTGCCATTAGACTCAAGACCCTAAATCTTTGGTGTAAGAATAGAGTCCATCATACAGGCATAGTTGCTAGAATTCACTCAAAATTCCTATCTTACAAGCGAAGTACGATAAGATCCCAAAACAATTTGTATTCGATAAGTAGTATAAGATACAATTAAATGAAACCAGCTAACCGGAGGGATTAAGCTTAAAAGAGCTTAGTCTTCACCGATAGTTCTAAATATACCATCCACACCATCTGGATGATTGGCGGTCCACCACTGTGCGATTTAGAAGATGTTTTCTTCCTCGCACAACTTCCTTGTGGAATCGATTACCATCAGCGATTTTTCCTGACCGATACGACTTAGGGACCTTCAAGAAAAGAGCCTACTCCTTTTAAAAAGGCCGGCAACGCATCTGCCATTCCCCTGGTTCCCCTAGTGTTGCAGTTGTTCATGGGCGGCGGTAGTCATTTACCATCAGGTGAGCCGCATGCTCGTTTGCCCCCTCTACTATAAAAAAAAACAAAAGAAGGTGTAGAATCTGGAACTTTTCTGAAGACCTCAATATCCACATGCACACCGCTAGGTACCTACAACACAGTCTTTCAGGCGCAATGTATCGGTATTATTCATTGCGGCCATAGCAAAATATGCTAGTAAGGTTATATAGGACTTTTCCATCAAAATACTGACCGACATTGAGTTTGTGAGCGATCGCAATGAGTGCTATCATTTGTTACTTATTAGACTATTTTTCCACATCATGATTTAAAAGACACAAAGTAAAAAGAGTACCATGTACAAGTTAAAAAAAGGTTGTCAACCCCTAAAAATTTCAAAAAAAACGAAGCTGTAGGAGGCATGAACTACTTGCAAAATAATGAATATTTTGTTCTGGATAAATCTTCCAAAAACGTAATTTGAGCGGGTTATAACGATTTAAAAAAAAGACACGAGTCGCGTGTCATACGCCACACAAAAATAATCGATGGCACGCCTACATCCGCACTGAACCGGTTAATAAACACTTTCACGCTGACATTGGCGAATGATCTCCTTCAATGCTGGACGACGTCTTCGTTACTACCGCCGAGACTCCTGATAAGACTTCCCTTTTTTATATATTAAGGGTGACAAACGAGCACACAGTCCACCTGATGGTAAGTCCATACTGTGGTCCATAGACATCTACATAAATACTCAATTAAAAATCTTGTCACCCGTGAGGACTAAGATGGAATGCCTCATTTCCAGTAAAACGATTCTTCGGTTCTCTACACTCACCATACGAAACATAGCAGTGTTCAGCTGCTATTTTACATTGGTATTCTGCTCCAATCGAGCCGGCCCATTCAACCTACAACCATAATATAGCTGCAGCGTGGCTCTACCACGTAATAACTTCCTCTCAAGCGGCCAAGACACCTTTAGCCGTCAGAACCTCTGATCAGTCTTGTGAGTCTGCTTAACTAGCGGTGAGATAACCCCATCACCTAACCCCAACATCCTGTCTCTAACCGTCTGTAACCTTAGATCTCATGGTGTAGACATCCCGCATTTAGTTAATTTATTTACGTATATTTCTGTGGTAGGGCTAGGGTATTAGGCACGGCTAGGTATAGTAAACTTAATTAGGGCCTTAGGATCTAATACTCCTACCATATTCACGTGCAGCCACCGGGTAGTCGAAAACTAGGTTATATATAAACAAGCAACTACCAGACTATACATTATGGTAAAGAATAAGGTAGATCTACCGTAGAAAGAGAAAAATCCATATTCAGCAGCGAACTTCTACACGCTGTCCAAGTAATGAAGATACTCCACAGCTGCGGACGGATGAACCAAGAATTTCGTAGCTGTAGGCATCGTCTATGCGGCCAACCCACCTGCATGGGCCCAGCGTGATATGGACTAATCTTCCAAGGAATGGCCAATGCCCAGCAGTGGACACTGTGGTCTTTTTTTTATATAATAAGGGTGACAAACGAGCACATAGTCCACCTGATGGTAAGTGGATGCTGACATTTACATTTATCCTCAAATAAGAATTAAAATGCAGATGGCATCGTCCATGCGATTAACCCACCTATATGGGCCCAGCGTGGTATGCTCGAATCTCCTTAGGAAAGGCCAATGACCGGCAGTGGACGCTGTGGTCTAAAGCAACTAAGGAACTTCTTTCTGATCGTCTCGATTCACTGGCGCTGAGTAGGGATGTTGCATCCCTTTGCATTTTCTATCGCATCTACCACGGGGAGTGCTCTGAGGAATGGTTCGGATTAATTCCAGCTGCCAAATTTCACGAACGCACATCGCGTCAAATTTCACAAACCATCATCACCGTCTGAATGCTTGGCGGTCCACCATTGTGCGTTTTACTAGGAGTTTTCTTCCTCATACAACTTCTCTGTGAAATTGTTTACCACCGGCGATTTTTCCGGACCGATACGACTTAGGGACCATCAAGAAAAGAGCTTACTCCTTTCTAAAAGTCCGGCAACGCACCCGCAATTCCCCTGATGTTGCGATTGTTCATGGGCGGCGGTAGTTACTTACCATCAGGTGAGCCGCATGCTAGTTTGCCCCCTCTTCTATAAAAAAAAAAATCACCCTTCCTTCGGCGATGATCGCCTAAACAATCAGTGTACCTATAAGGCTGTATACAGAAAGAAAGCTGGTAGGCGGCGCCGATCTACCAGCACTTATCGGCGCTGGTCTATTCTGGTAACAGTTACATAAAGGAAGCCGATTGAAGCAGAGCGAGCAAAATGTCGTACTCGTCGGACGATGTTAGTTTTGTTAGAAAATGTGTATTTTAAAATGCCAAAATAAGCTACACATACTATTAAAAGAGAAAGGAATCGTTTCGAAGAATACCATCATTTATTTGTAAAACAATTGAAATTTGATGATTTGACGAATTTAAAATGTTTTAACGTGGTTTAAATATACACGTGTACAGTCGACAGCAGATCAAGCGTAACCCTTTGAGATTTGTGCCGACATTATTATTTTGTAACTAGCTGTTCCCCGCGATTTTGCCGGCGTGTAATTTAGGGTTTTAATTTTTTAGCGAGTAACCCTAATTATTTTTGCTAAAATAAAGGCAGCCTAAGTTACTCCTTATGACATCAGCTATCTGCCAGTGAAAGTCCCGTCAAAATTGGTCTAGCCGTTTCGGAGTTTAGCCGGAACAAACAGACATACAGACAGTCCGTCTATCAGACAGACAAAAATTTTAAAAAGTGTATTTTTGTTATAAGTACTGTTTATACTTTCATATGCATTTAGTAAAACGTTGTAATTTTGATATTACAAACAGACACTTCAATTTTATTTATTTGTATAGATAAGAGCGATTATAAAAAGTATCTAAGTGTCACCCTTGATATGCCGTCTTCCGTACAATCAACACGTCACTATTCATTTCTCTATTTAACAAAAATATATGCGTGTCGTAGTTGTACGTGTTGTCGTATATTTGTTCAATGTTCATTAATTTTAAATGGCGGACGGCGCCAGCGCTGACCGGCGCATGTCGAAGATTGTCGGAACTTGTCGGCGACGTTCGGCGCTTATCGGCGTCTGTTTATATAAATGCATGCGCCGGTTACCAGCGTGGACCGATCCCTATAAGCGCTGATAGGCAGCCAGCTTTCTTTCTGTAGGTATAGGCTGATTCTTTGAATATGTGCATATTACGCGGCCCTCCCCAAATAACTACTTAGTGAGATATAAAGTTATATTCTTTTTTATTTCACGTAAAACATGGTTCCAGTAGTATATAAAGAAGTACATAACATTTTCCTATTGTAATAAACAACTAAGTTATATTCATAAACGTTCCTCAAATCTCATCACCATTCGTGTCCCAATTTCCAAATTTTAGCAGTCCATGCTCGAAAAGTTGTAAATAAACCCCGAAGATCGTATATTTTTGTAGTAATTTAGATAGTACACTACATGCTTTACTAATTAGCAAAACTACAC